AACATAAAAAAAATAAAAATAAATAAAAATAAAAATAAATAAAAAAATAAAAAATTATTTATGGTGTTCATAATGCTTTCAGGCTTAGCACTCTGTGTGGGCAGTTAGTCCCAGCACTTGAGAGACTTAGGTAGGATTGCTGCAAGTTCAAGGCTAGCCTGGGCTACATAGTGTGTCCAGGCCAGCCAAAACTGCATAGCGAGGGCCGGGGAGATAGCTTGGTGGTCTAAGCGCATGGCTGGCAAGGACCTGGTTCGTTCTCTGGTGTGCCAGCCCTGCGCTGAGCTGGCCACTGAAATTGAGCATGGTGTGGCACACACCTGTAATCCTAGCTCTGCGGAGGCTAAGATAGGAGGATCACTGACTCTGAGCTGTGTAGCAAGACCCTGTACCAAATAAATAATAAATAAGTATATAGATGATTGATTGATTAAAAGTACATAGCAAGGCACTGTCTTGAAATAAAAGAAAAATAAATATCTAAAAATTACAAAAAATTGATAGTAAAATAGCAATCTCTGTAATTTGATTAAAAAGTAGAATAGGTGTTTTGTCTAAATTAGTAAATTAATAAGCTAAAATTATGAGAGAATATGTAAAACTCAGAAAAGAGGTCTTGAAGTTCCAGTATCTACCTCATTGGAGTTTCAAAATAGAGGTTAAAAAATACTCAAGGGAGAAAAAATGAAAAAAATTTCTGGAGCTGAAAAATAACACAATTTTCACTGAAAGACATTACCAACTACAGATCAGAATGAAAGAAGGGCAAAAAGAAAAACTTCCTATAAGCATGCCATGGGCAAAACCATGCATTTGTATGCACAAGATGGTTAAGGCAGTGATCCTGAGAATCTTCTGCAGGTTTTTGAAACTAGCAGTTAATTAGTAGGATTCTCATCCTGACTAACTATATATGCTGATACCTGTGAACTGAGCACCTGCACTGAAAATAGCAATGTGTAATACTAGGGTCGTGCTTGGAATGGCTGTCATTCTGGTCTTCTAAATACATACTGTTTGTCATGTCATATCAATTACTGCTATACTGTCTCTCAATTAAGTGTTTATTTTTTTTAAAAAGGGTAATAAATGACAACAAGGGACAAAAAACAAGTCATAGAACTATCCTGCTACAATACTATATAGTAGATTTCTAACCTAGATACTATAGGTTAGATTTCTAAATTTCTGTGTAAAAATAATGTAATTGTTTATTCCTATTGAAAAATTTTTTTTCTTATTTTTCTTCATATTCTGTAGGGATTTAAAGTTTTAACATATCAACGCTTGATGGAAAATGCGTGTTCCGTGTTATGTCTCAGATGTTTGATATTCAGACAGATAAGGAGGTTAAGCTCAACTGCCTATGTTATAGGGTAGTAATATCATTAAGCTTCTCTTCTGGAGGGTTACCAATAGTTAGAGAAAAAGAAATTCTGCAAGGACAGCTAACATTTTGGCCCTAGCCTTTCAAAGTCAGTGAGGACTCAGGACATAGGAGAACCTGTACTGTAAGATCCTGTAACTCAGTGGTGTCCCAGATTTTCTGATCAAGGAGATTATGGGGCCACAGAGGAAAGTGATTGATGATGTAGTAGAGTGTGCCTAAGGAGAGTCACATGGAGAGAAAACATTCTCTCAGGCTTTCACAGAGAGCAAATTGGTCAAGCAATGGCTGTGACTCATCCAGATGGCTGACACTGACACTGATCTACAAACTGGTACAGGGTTTCAGGGTACATCCTGAGGGGATTGGACTGACCTTATCAGATACAAAAGTTACATTTCTTGTTATATAGGTCTTGC